GTTTCTACAAAATTTAGAATCTGTAAGTCCCTCAATTCTTTATTCAAACAGTTTTAAGAAAATGGAATAAATCTTTATTTTCTTACAGAAGGTATTTTCTACATATTTGTCTCAACACAGAGGTTGCAAGGGTAGAAGGGGTCGTTGAGGAAGCAGACATTGTTATAAAAATAATGTTTTTATTTCTGTACTAAACAAATTATGATGAAGTTATATTTAATTTAATAACCTTGGGAACAAGCCTAATCTAAACTTATAAGGTTATAAAATGTACTCTTATTACTAGATCAGCTTGTAGATCCTTGTAAGCTCTTTCCTAAACTACTGTGGTCCTCTTCAAATCTACTTATCTAGTATTTCTACTTCCCCTAATGGGTGTTATAGCGTGAATACTAACTTCAGGACGAATGATTTACTACTCATGATTAACTGTAACACACTCCTTACCAGGGTTTAAATAACATTTACATTAGCATTAAAAATCAAGCCATCTCTTTAACTAAAACTTTAACCAACTGGTTTTAAACTGAAATCACAGCTACAGAATAATTTCCCCAAGAGGATTAGCTGAAGAACCATGGATAGAACCTGTCACATATTAAATTTACTTTAATTTATACACGTGTATTTAACAGCACATAAAAATTGAAATTAAAATATTTAATTAAAAGAACATACTAATTTAATATAAACGACTAATGTAATATAAAGAAAATAAATAGCAATAATAGAGAAACGTATTGAGACGTAAAAATAAAACTTACTAAGCATGTCCCAAAGTAATTAATTAAAAAAGTAATAAAATAAACGCTTAAAATAAGCCTTTTCTATTATTAAAACTTTCAAGAAATACTTTAATAATCAATTCAAAAATGAAATCTCTTTACAAATTTTTATATATTTTTTTGATTTTTGTTCTCGAAAGAACCGTAAAATTTATGAAGACCAACGAACAAAGACTTATTTCAGATATTTTGCACGATTCCATTTTAATTAATTTTTTAAGCTTCAAAAATTTCTAGATCGCATTTAATTAAAAAATTGTAAGTATATGTAATTAAAATTCTAGGCAATTACTATAAAAAATATAAAAATAAATTTAGTAAAAATACTGAAAAGAACAATTTTAGTTCCTTTTATTTTTAATGCTTTTCGAATATTGCTAATTTGAATTAATAAGAGACTATCAATCGCAGTTAAAAGCTTTTTTTCTATAAAAATAAATTTCTCATGTAAGGAGATACGAAAATCAATTAGCAAACCAGAACAGATTCGAGATGAGTTAACAAAACTGTATTTTACATGTTGGTTGAAGTCATCTATTGTTTTATTTCGTGTTTTTTACAGTTGAAAATAAAAAAAAAAAAATACACATAAGGATTTTTTGAATAGATATCATCTAATATTTTTAATTATAACAGCGGTTTAAATTTTTAATTTGGTTTTTTTCCTCTTTCTCCTGCTGCTTCCATGAATTATTAATAACAAATAACTCGACCATAGAGGAAATACAATTAAAAAAAAACTAAAAAGATTTAATCCATATTCATTCATTTGATTTTTGGTATGGAATATTCAACACTTTTTTTTAATGACCTGTAACTATTTATAGGTATAAATGAATGTATGCTCAAATTTTCAAAGATTTATTTTTGAAATTTTTATGAATTCTTTTCTTTAACGGTTAAATGTACTGATATATCAATATATATATAAATAATAGTTTTTTGACGATATAAATTTACAATAACGTATTCTTTTCGTCACTAAGCAATTGATGACTTATGCTTATAAAAATTGTTATTTAATTGCTCATAATTTTTTAAATTTAATTTTAAAATTATGTTACATTAGAGGCAAAACCCTATACGTAATACTAAAAATTTCAAACATGTGAATTAGAATATTAATGAAATTCCTTTAGTAAACAAAAAGTATTTTAGGAATTACGTAGTAATACGAAGAAGAGAACATCAATAATATATATAAACTTTTATTTTAAAACTTTTTTTCTATCAACTTATAAAATCGTTACACAATTTATGATGTAAAAGATTGTCGCCAGATTTAAGTACTCGTATTTACTTAGTTTGAAAATTTTAAAAATTAAAATCAATCAGATCAAGTTATTTAATTTGCTTGTTTATCTAAACAGGTAAATCTCGTGACAAGCTTTTATATTATAAATTTCGTAACGGAATTGTATAAGTTGATAGCAAAAAAAGTTTTAAAAGAAAAGTTTATTTTATTCTTTTTCGAACATTTAAATAAAAGCTTGTTTTTAAAAGCCTTTTTTTACTTTTAATTTATTTTTTATTTTCTAGTTATCGCAGGATAGAATCTTCTCAGTCTGTTAATCTAATTCAACGCATTATTGTTGCAAGGTCGTTTGCCAGTTAATTTTGAACAGTCCCGCTTAGGGATACTCAACTTTTTTCCCCGCCAGGCTGCATATATATGATAGATATTTCCCTCAGGCCGCAATAAAAGGAGAATAGAAAGGGGGGGATAAATACTGGAAGAGAGCAAAACGACATTGGACAAACCAAAATTAATTAAAATATTAAGACTCCTTTTTTTTTGCTTTTACTATAATACTATATTAAAAACGAAAAACACAATTTTCTTTTTAAATCCGTAATTTTAAACCAAATTTTTCAATTTTTGTGCAGAATTTGGATAATACTATTCTATAAACGAAAACCTATTTGCATGCGATTATATTTAAAAATGATGAAGTTTTAAAATGTTTTATTAAAAATTTAAGTATTTTTTGAAAAATCGTAAAAAAAAAAGTTTTAGCTATATTTTAAATGACTGTTTCTAAAAGAGAAAACTCTGAACTTTCTTAGTGCAGAATATCAATTCAATAACACGAAAAAAAAAAATTCATACGGAACGATTTAGAAATCATTTCATGAAAACGCATCGATTTTGACTCATTTTAGAAAAAAATTGTAAAAAAATAGAAAATATCATTATTTTTTAAAAAGTATTATACCGTTTCCAAGATTCTATCCGAAAAATTACTTTAATTATTATCTACAATGTTGAAATTCGAAGGTAAAACAAACGTATGCGACTATAAAACTAGGTGTATCTTCTACGAACCACACGACGCAAAATTTACTGACTGTACCAAAAGATGGGAATGGTCCAAGGAATCCGTTTTGACCATTTATATTCCAAAAGTGCAATTAGTTTAAAAGATATTAATTAAACAAACTTAAAACGCATAGTTATTGCCATTTTTCTCTCAAGAGGGCAAAGTTCCAATTTTCTGAACTTTTTTTTTATACCAGACGCATTTAAACACAATCTAATTTTTTTATGGGACTCAGACAAAAAATAATTACAGCATCCGAAAGATCATTTACTTCCCGCACGATAAAGTATAATTTATTTTATAAAATAATGATATTTTGTATTTTTTACGATTTTTTCTAAAATCAGTCAAAATCGATACGTTTTTATGAAAATGATTTCTAATTCATTCTGATTGCATTTTCTGTTATGTTAATGAAATGATATTCTACATTAATGAAATTCATGCTTTTCTCTTTTAGAATCAGTCATTTAAAAAATAAAATGTGAAAAATGTTTTTTTACGATTTTTCAAAAAAATTCTCAGATTTTTATTAAAATACTTAATAATTTCTTTAATTATAAAAATAATCTCATGAAACATTTTTTTCCGTGTGTAGGACATTATTATTGTAATCTGTAAGAAGATTTTAAAAATTACTTAAAAATTACGGTTAAAAAATGTGTTTTTCATTTTTTCCGTTTTTGCGAGAAATATTTAAACATTATATTTGTTACATTTTTTGTATAAAAATTACGAATGTTTGTAATCGATATATGATTTTTGAAGGCATTAACTGAAAAATGATGCCTGAAATTTTTTTAAAAAATTTAACAAATAACGCTATGCAAAATTAAATATCTCTTCCTTTTATTTCAACGGTCTTTTTTACCAGAATATTTCGTGGATTGGTCTATTAGAGCCCTGGATTAGTAACTTTTGTACATGGGTTCAAAACAACATCATCGTTTAACTTTTACGATTTTTTTTTTTTAAAAAAGTACTGAAAATTTTATTCACGAATTTAATAGCTTCGTCAGCAATTTTGTAATTGGAAAGATAATTTATTTCGTCACGATACAGAATGTTTTTTTTAACAAACCAACAATACTTTACATATTTTATGATTTTTTCTAAGATGAATCAATATCGATGCGAAAATGATTTTTAAAAAACACATACTTTGATCTTTTACAGTTAATGATTTAAAAAACAAAATGTCGAAATTTTTTTTACGAATTTCATTTGTGCAATAATTCATTACTTTTTGTGCCTCTATATGGCTGCATGTATAAAGCTGCTTAAAAATCGGTGAATGGTCACTTACTCGAGAGCTCTGATAGCGAGAGGGGAAGGGGAATTTCAGAGACAATAGATTATGCATTTAAAAATTTTCGTGCAAGGCCGGGAGGGGGGAGGGTATATACCTGTTTGACAAAGAAAAAAAGCTGAAAAATTTCGAAACAGGGAATTTTAAGTTATACACTTGGTAAAAGCCCAAGCAATGCAGGGCGAAGTGGAGGAGGGGGATTGGGTTGAAGTCATTTTGATAAACGGTATTAGAAGTGCTTATTTTGTGAAGGAAAGGGAAAATTTATAAAAGTAGAGAATACCCGTGCAATGCCGGGCCATGCAGCTAGTCTTTTTAACTAATTGCGATATCGAAATATAAATGAATAAAACCTGCATTGTCATCCAAACTAAACGTGTCTACAAAATTTCAGCGCAATCGATTGAAGGCATCAGCTTCAAAATTGAGTTGCAAGATTCCGCCCGAACATTTTACATTGCAAGTTAAATAAAAGCTTGTAAAAATATAGCATGCTTTGTACGTATGCTGAGTGGAAGTATTGTAAAAATCTCATTGTACAAATCAAATAAATTTCAAAAATATTTTACACGAAAATATAATAATTGGAGGCGTGGGGTATCGATCCCCCCGTACCTCTCGCATACTAAGCGAACGCTCTGCCATCTGAGCACTGCTCCCGGTCGACACCTGGGTAATTGTAAACATGCTCGCCTTAACACCTGAAAAAGATCGTTACAGTGACTAGGTCAATTAAACGTTTTATAGGAGAAACTAGAATCGAGTAAATAGATATAGAAAGATTCAAAGTAAATAGGAATCGCTTGATAGATCTGCCTTTTTTACTGTTCCCTCTAGAACAATAAAAATATAACTTAATTTGTACGTATGCTGAGTGGAAGTATTGTAAAATACCCGTTGTACAAATCAAATGAATTTCAAAAATATTTTACACGAAAAAATAACAATTGGAGGCGCGGGATGCCGATTCATGTACCTCTTGCTTGCTAAGCGAGTGCTCTACCATCTGAGCTACACCCCGGTCGACACATGCTCTCTTTAACACCTGAACAAGATCATTACAGTAACTTGGTCGATATCGGAATATAAACTATCAGAACATGCATTGTCATCCAAACTAAACAAAATTTCAGCTCAATCCGTTGAAGATTTCAGCTTCAAAATTGAGCTGCAAGATTCCACCCGAAAATTTTACATTGCAAGTTAAATAAAAGCTTGTGTGAAATAATATTTGGAAAAACAAAGGAGAAGCATATATGTTTGTATTTACAATATTTTTCAAGATCTCTCTCTATCTTTTTCTATTGTGTGAACATATTTTGTCAAAATTAATGTAAGTGAAATCTGTATTTCAACAACTACAGGACTTCATCAGTTTGCTTACAAAGATAAAGTCATGGGATTCTAGAGAACGTTTGAGAAATTTAGAACTGTTTACTAAGCTGAGAGCTTTTGATTTTGGAAGAAAGATCATTTTTCTCCATCGTAGGGTTCTCCTATGCTGTCGGAATGTCTTTCTTCTGACTTACTTGCGTAATGTGCCTCTTTGAAAAAATTGCAAGTCATATTCTGTAAAATATTTTCCTAAATTAATTAAAACTTATGAATTAATCTTTTGCAAATAAAACTCTGGAATCATTTACTACCGGAACTAACTCCAAAATACGTCTAAGAACACCATTTCTTCATATTTATGTGTGAATATGCAAAATTGAGATAATAAATATACTAAATAAAGTACAATATTTAACGTAATATGAAATGTATTACATAAATTTTATAGTTTACAATGACAATTTAACTGACATTCTAGACATATATCGCGTCAATGTGAAATGTTTGAGCACCAACTTTTAACATGGACTATTAAGCAACAGTTTGGATAATACAAATAATTGGATTTCACTAATCATCTTTTTTCTACCATTCATTGATAAAGCTTTGGCAATTATATTTATTATTTAATGACCTTCCTGTTTCATTCCCTTAATACTGAACATTATTCCTTGAGATATACGCAATGATTTGAAAAAAAATATCAATTAGCAGCTAAAAAGATTAGGAACTTGAAGAATGCAAAATTATCATCATGTGTTTTTTCTATTTTAAAAATCAAATATTTTAGAATTAAAAATATCAATTTGTCAGGCTTGAGTCTTTTTAAGAAAGAAAGGAAGCAATTTAAAGTTTTTAAATATTTTTATATAGTAAATACTCTCTCATGAGACAAAATTTGATTTATCTTCTAATGGTATGCTTTCATCAAGGAAGAAAATGAAAATAACATCTTTCTTCTTTGAGTTACAGCTCTTTTTTGGTAATGTGGTATATTTAATTACATAATGCCATTTCAGTGAATATGTACAGCTAAGTGGAAACATGGTCTCGCAAGGGATCACAATATATTCGAATTTTTTTTGTATTATTTCCATAGATCACATTATTTTACTTGAGTAATAATAATACTTTGGATCTTCTTTCAGTAGGTGGATTCAGGGAGTTTTAAGAATCTGCTGATGCTGGTGGACAATGATTAGTTTCCCCTTTGAAAATAATTATAAATGAAGCAGAAAGTGCACAGCTCAGCACCTGAGTGTTAGGCAAAAACCTCTGGTTAACCCAACGTTATGAAAAAAATATTTCAACACAAATAAAATTCTTTCAGGCATTTAAGCATTTTTGAATGGATTATTTTAAAGTTAGCATTTTTCTTATAAAACTTCAAAAAATAGGTTTTATTAAAATGTTTTTATTAAATGTTTTATTATAAATAATATTTTTTTAAATGTAAATAAAAACTTAAGTTATATTTGCTTGATTATCTTGAATTTTTATAAACATTAACAAACACATTTATAGAGCTGTTACTTATCTTAATTTATATTTCTTCATAAATGGAAGAAAATCAAGTTTGTTGATTGATTGTTAATTAATGTAGCTCTTTGAAGCTGTACGTGTTCCATTTGTGACGGATTCATTAATTTTGATCCCAATCAAGCAACGAGAACAGCACATGAAGATAATCCTCCTCACCAAAGTAATGACTTTCCAATTCCTACTATTAGCTCACACTCTCTATTTATTTATTTATCTTCGTGGAATTTTCAAACGTTAATAAAATACATTTTGAAACGCTCAATTGAGCTGAAATTTTATATACATGGTTATTTTGGATGACAATACAGTAATTAAATTATAATTAATAAAAATTAATTGATTAAAATCTAATTATTAAAAGATTCTATTATTCTAATTATTCATTTTTGGTGACTTGGGTCAAAATATGAAAAGGTTTTTCTCACATTTTAAAGCGCTCATTTGAACTGAAATTTTCTATACACTGTTGTTTTGAGTAAAAATATGATAATTTAGTTATAATTAATTAAAATTAATTGGCATAAACTAATTATTTAAGGAATTACAGATACAGCCACGTTGGTTTCATTTTTAGTGACTTGGGTCAAAATTTTAAAAGATTTTTTTCCCTCGTGTTTTAAAGCATTCAGTTGAACTGAAATTATGTATACACGATTGTTTTGGAAGACAAATACGATACATTAATGATAATTAATAAAAATGAATTACCATTTAATGTTGTGATTCTGTCATATGTATATACGTATTTATATTAATTGTAATTATTTAATAAAAAGTACCTAAAATAAAATTTTTCTTTGTTGTGATCTATCTATCTATCTATCTATCTATCTATCTATCTATCTATCTATCTATCTATCTATCTATCTATCTATCTATCTATCTATCTATCTATCTATCCATATAGATATCTATATATATATATGTATCTATATATATCTATGTATGTATCTATCTATCTATCTATCTATATATATATCTATGTCAGGTTTGAAAAGTTTAGATTCAAAATTAAGAAAGTAATAAATGAAAATTTCTTTACCATCGCGTAAGGATTTGTGGGTAAATAAGCCTGTTAAAAGATGCAACGAGCGCTGACGAAGGCGAACGCATACTAGAAAAGGTTTGGCTGGTGTCTCCTCGCTGAGATGTTGTTTTTTGTACCACCCGGTTGCGCGGCAAAAGGTCCGCCATGTTAGATTTTATGTGATGGAAGCGCAATAAAGAAGTATTTAGAAGATGATGCCCTCCTCATTTTACCAGCAGGCCTGGGGCCTGACATATATATATATATATATATATATTTATATATATATATATGATATAGATAGATAGATAGATAGATATATAGAATATATACATATATAGGAATTGTGTGACTTAAATTTTTTTTTTCTTATTTTACTCGTTAGTCACCATTATATTTTTAATTTTTTAGTGAAAAGAGTTAGAGAGAGGGGTTAGGAAAGGAAATTTAAATAAGTTTTATAAAGATAAGAATAAGGAATAGTTTAGATTATAGCAGAAGTCATTTGCAGTAAAGTAGTCATTTGCAATTGCAGTACTGTAGCCTGTGTTTTAAAATCCATTTAAATCATCCTTAAGCAGTTAAAAAAGAACTAAGCATATACATCAAGATAACATGAAAGAACATAAGATGTAATTTTTTGTCTATGAAACTTGACTTACAGGTAAAAATCAGAGAAAAAAAATGAAGATATATCCGGCAATGCATCAATACATCTGATTAACGTATGTCTGTAAAATCAATCAACTTTTTCCTTTCCGACATTGAATTTATTGAACAAAAATTCAAAAAAACTTTCATAGGATATTAATTATTATAGATTTAGTAAATTGCTACTGTAACACACGGTTTAATTTGAAGACTAAAATGTAGATGGCGGTACTTGTAACGGAAGTGTTCCCGAGCGGAGAGAGAGAAGCTCTGTATTACCGCCAGAGAGAGTTGGGATTTGAATGAATGTCCAATACTGGACTATGTAATATATTTAATTTACCCTTATTTCCTCTTAATGTTTAACCTGTATTGTGTCTAAATGTCTGTCCATTGTAACTGTGTTATTTTATGTTATTAAAACTACTTTAAATTACCCCGAGATCTTATCCATTATTTTGGTTTACCCAGTAATGACGTAAGAGAATCGTTACAAATTGGCACCCAACGTGGGGCCAATCCGAGCAGATTCCCAACTTTCTCTCGCTTTTTCCACTTAGGTTGAGGCTTTGTCACCCGACAACAAATAGAGAATTCGCAACCCTGCGAAAAAATATTGTTTTCATCCAGAAAACCTGTGAACAGATAAGTGTTGTTTATTCTAAATAATCTTACTCTGTTATTCTGTATAAGAACAGTGATTATATATTATTGCTCTTAGTATGTATTGTGTGTTACAGTATATAGTAAGGTAATTGAAGTTTAAGTGATATTTTCACTTATTTATTTGTCAGTATTCTTAATACTTTTTTGAAAACGAAATTCGCATTCTATTGTTTGTTCTGATTAAAGCTAATTGAAGGTTATTTATGAATGTATATTTACTCACTAATTAAGAATTTTATGGCATTAATATATATATATATATATATATATATATATATACTTTTGTTATCAAGAAATTATTGCGATTGGTATTTATTCAAATAATTTCACGTTGATTCTTGTTTGATTACTAAACTTTTAATTAAGTTTTAAATTGAATGCAATTTTTATCATAATAATTTCTTCTTTTTATGTCTAATATAAAAAATAATTATTTTGT